CATTTCCACAGGCCGCTGTCTCTTAAAAAAATTGGGTGGGACTAATGCCTCTGGCAAGTGATACTCCTAAAAATGGCCCTTCTGATGCTGGAGAACTTGGGTCCAGTAGTGATATGAAGTCACCTTCTTCCCAAGCCAGAGATCTGAAAACCTTACAGAAGTGACAGTAATAGCAGTGTGTGTGTGTATATATGTACACACATGTATGTACATGTACTAGTAGCATCTTTTAAGAACCTTAAGGAGTTTGTTGCATGAGAAACTAAGAAAAGGAAGAAAGTGAGAAAAATGCTGGCCCTGAATTCTTAAGAATCCATTATCAGGAGCCCATGTATCAGGATGGAGAGCACTCAAGTCAGATTGGAGGGGGGGGGGGGGGGAGAGGAAGAGAGAGAGAGAGGAAAAGACTTCAGAATTTAAAAAACAAACAAAATAAGTATGAAACAATTTAAAATATTAATGTGCGGATATAGTTAAAGTGACTATGTACAAATGATACCATCTTACTGAATATACTGCTCCCTGTGTTTGTGTTCTAAGTCTCATCTGCATGACTTACTGACAAAAAATTTTATACTACTTTTTATTCCATTAGTAAACAGCTGTAGAGAATTATCTGGGGGTCTATTCTGGTTTGTGTGCCATGAACAGATTGTTAACGAAATTCCAAATGCATAATTTTCATTACTGTTGACGATGGGTAAGCCAGAAAGAATACAACACGACTCTCAGATCACAACTTGAATTTGCGGAACTGATTCTTAGAAAAGTTGTCTTTTTATTTATAACCTGAGAATATTTGATCTGGAAATCAACAAGAGATATTAAACACAGAACTCTGCAATTCCATTTTTATAGATCAGCTTTTCAGAATACAATTGCACTTTGAACCACTTACTTTCATTCTCTTCATAAATATGTGTTTTGAAAATGACATGATGACAGTCCGTCAAAATATCACAAAACATACTATAATGGAAATTACACTTTTTCTCACAAAAGTTTTAAGGGGTTACTCAAACACAACAAGTATTTTTGTGAAAAATACATAGAAATGCAGAGCCATAGCGTAATTTTAGACGAAACAGAAATTACTTAACTTTGTCATTCTCAGATGGCTGTATCTATGGTACAGCTCACCTCAGTATCACAGTCAGGAAGGGTCTGTAGAACTAAACTGGCATTCACCTGCCTCACTGCTACCACAAAGGAATTGTCACAACTGCATAGTTAAGGTTGACTTTTGCCCTTAAAAAGGAATTCAACCTCTTTATTATGAATAATACAGTGAATCCTTCCTAAACTAACAGGTTACACAGAGTACTGAATGAATTTTCAGGGAATATACAAGTAAACGGTAAATAGCTTGAATTAATTTTTTTATGAGATTACAGGTTTGGTTGATGAAGGTAATAGGGTTGATGTAATATACTTAGATTTCTGCAAGGTGTTTGAACTTGGTACTGCGTAATATTTTGATTTAAAAAACTAGAATTTAAAATTAACATGGCACACATTAAATGGATTAAAAATTGGCTAACTGATAGGGCTCAAAACTGTAAACAGGGAATCATCATTGAGTGGGTGTGTTTCATCAATGACCTAGGAAAAAAACAAATCATCACTGATAATGTTTGCAGATGACACAAAATTGGGGGAGTGGTAAATAATGAAGCGGACAAATGACTGAGTCAGAGAGATCTGGATTGCTTGGTAAACCGGGTGCAAGCAAACAATATGCATTTTAACACAGCTAAATGTAAATATGTACATCTTGGAACAAAGAATGCAGACCATACTGACAGGATGGGACTTCATCTTGGGAAGCAGTGACTCTGAAAAAGATTTGGGGGCCATGGGGGAAAATCAGTTGAACAGGAGCTCCCAGTGTGACACAGTGGCCAAAAGAGCTAATGTGATCCTGGGATGCATAAACAGAGGAATCTTGAATAGCAGTAGAGAGGATATTACATCTCTATTTTTGGCACTGGGAGAATGTTGCTGTACTATAGTGTGCAGCTCTGGTGTCCACAATTCAAGGAGGATGTTGATAAACTGGAGAAGGTTCAGAGAAGAGCCATGAGAAGGATTAGAAGATTAGAAAACATGCTGTATGGTGACAGATTCCATGAGCTCAATCTAGTTAAGCTTAACAAACAGAAGGTTAAGGGGTGACTTGATTCCAGTCTATAAATATCTACATGGGGAACAAATATTTAATAACTGGCTCTTCAATCTAGCAGAGAAAGGTATGACACAATCCAATGGTTGAAAGTTGAAGCTAGACAAATTCAGACATGGTGATAGTTATTAACCATAAGAACAATTTATCAAGGGGTGTAGTGGATTCTCCATCATAAACAATTTTTAAATCAAGATTGGATGTTTTTCTAAATGATATCCTCTAGGAATTATTTTGGGGAGGTTATGTGGCCTGTGTTATACAGGAGATCAAATTAGATTATCACAATGGTCCCTTCTGCCCTTGGAATCTATGAAAATTACATTCTCAATAGTAAGTTCTTTTTTTTTTTTTTGGATAGAATTTATAAAACAGATCCTGTTCCTAAATGTGGCATAAGGGCTTGTCTTCAAGACCTACCTTTAACATCTAGGGCTTGATTTAACCCTCTTACATTAGTTTTATGCTGGTGTAATTCTATTGACATCAGTATAAAATCCAGTGCGATGGAATGAAATATCAGGGCAAAAGATCCCTGACTCCACCAAGAAAGTAGGTTATGTTACCCTGGTTTTATTCTTCTTTTTACAAAACAAACACTTTACTTGCCTGTACAGTGAATAATTAAAGGTAGATAATTTGTATTTAGGATAAATCCCTAGTCTTGGTGCCTAGAATTTTCCAGGGTTGTGGCTGTACATAAAAGGTATATATTTCACTAATTAAAAGCATATTGTCTAAATATCGTCTAAAAGGAAACTCGAGACAATAGGCTCTCTTACACACTGTATATGCTCAAACTGTGATTTTGTACGAGTCTAGAACCAAATTCAGTCGCCAACAGGCTTTTGGGTTAAAAAGATTTGAAACTCCGAGAAATGTCTCACAATAGGGATGTGAAGAGCTCAACTTTGTCTTGTCCACTCCTAGAATACCGGGGAACAGTAGAAGCATGTTTGCAAAGCACCTTCAGTAGTTCTAGCTAAAATCCATCCTACAAGAAATACAGGATTAGGGCAATATTGGATGATTTAACTTTAAGCATTTTTGTTCCGCTCCATGCACTGAATTTTTCCCAGATTTTGGTATATTCTATAGTCCTAAATTAGTTATTGGAAAGTAACAGGATGTTTATCACTTGGACAAAGTAGATTTTTGTTGTTATATCTTTTCAAATCCATGCAGCTAAGTGGAATGCGTCTACATGATGCAGAAGATCTTGCTTTAACAGATTAGGCACTCAAATATTAAGGAGTAAAACCTATGAAGTTAACCATCTATTGCAGTATCATCTCAAAGGCTTCTAAAGGAAAAGAGCCCTTCCTACAGTTTGAATACAGATCCTTCCTCATTATTATTTGTATTACAGTAACACCAGTCGCTGTAAAAACACATATGCAGACAGTATGTTCTGAAGAGTTTACAAATCCTCTGAGAAGGTCAACATTTAAGATGAATGCTTGTGTTTCTGAGTTTTAGGAGCTACTTTCTTATCAGATTTACGCATTCTTCCCTTTGTGGCAATGGGATTCCTTCAAGGAGAATAACTGCTTTTATCTGATTTTTATTTTATTTTAATTAGCACCAGAGCGCTAGACCTAACTTTGGAGAACAATTTGACTGATCTCTGCAACCTGGGAAATTGGAGCTGGAACTCAAGTTCATCCTTTGGTTGGTTTTCAGAGACTCTGGAAGGACCATAATCTCGGTTCCCAACTACTATATTTCCATCTCCCATGAGATTCCAAACAACCTTCTAGCAAAAATACAAAGCTAGCAAGTTCTAGAAGCAAAATGGTGATTCTAAAAAGGAAGATAGGCTAGTGTCCGGTGTCAAACTCGCTTTGCTGAACCACCGAGAGCATCCTTAATCTGTTCTGCAGATAAGTAGGAAGCAGCTAAACTACTGGCTGAGTGAGTAGGTGAGGAAACGAGAACATTGCTGCTAAGTGATAAGCACAAGAGAAAATTTCTGATGCCATGGAAATTTTCCCCAAGACCCACATACCATTCCAAAATATAAAATTCCTCTAAAAAATACAAAGGGAAACTTGTTTTCCATAAGTAAAAAAGTACCCCTTGCTAAACAACTTCATTAAACGTAGAAAAGGAAATATCTGGTCTCCTCTTTGGAGGAAGAGATAATGGGAGGACAATTAGGTCAGCAAACATGCCAGAAGGAGGGGCTTTCAGATGTCTTCATTCTCCAAACCAGCTCCTCCACCCTCAAAAAAGGAGTTATCCTCTATTAAGATGGATTGGATAGAATTATTATTTCTGTCCAAATCAGTAGAGTCAAAGCAGGAGAAAAAGAATTAGCCAGTTTTGAAAATAAAAAATGACTACTTCCCTAACTAGAAAAACAAAAATCAATTATGTTGATTAGTCACAGTATTTCTCAATGTCAGACGAGGCAGGGGAAAAGAGGAAACAATTGAAGGTACTGGTATCAGTTATGTCTCACCTGAGAAAGATTTGTGCCACTTTGTGGTAAAGCCATTAAACATTTTCTAAAGTCTAATCCGATAGCACACTGAGTGTTCCATTCAGGATCTTGATATCAAAGACTGAAGATGAGACCTAATTACAGTGGGTGCATTTCAAAAGTTCATTCTAGTTTTGGAGGTATTACCAATTCCAGCGGTATTCCTCCATTTTAAGTATACTATTGATCACTACAAACAGTAGTAGCTCTAAAACCAGAATGAACTGTTAAATGTGCCCACTGTTCTTTATTCTAGTGAAAATGACAGCAATCAATACCAAAACCATTCTTGTACCCAACCTATACCCAATAGAGAATACTAAAGCAACATACCTGAACTCTGAATTTCCAGGTTGTTCCAACAGGAACGCCAGGTATAGGTCCATAGTGGTTAGAAGGAACAATAGTGCATTCCTTAGTACGACCAACACAAGCCATACCCTACCAACATATCAGAGAGAAGAAACTAATTTTATTATATTTAAGTTTCCTTTCAAAGTTGATGCAGACATATGGATTTCTATTATAATAAAAATGTTTTAAATACATTTTTTCAATAAATTTTATGTAAATTCTAATTGTTATTTATTATTTTATTTATAATCCTTGTCTCTAGTCAATTTAAAAAAAAAAAGGATTTCTACTGTTTTAACTTTTGGAGACAATGGGCAAAATTCAGCATTGGTTTACACACTGTGCAATTCCACTGAAGATTGCATGATGTGTAATTTAGTACTCAACTTTGCACAGTTAATTTATATGTATAGTCACAGATATCTCACACACACACAGAGTTATATTTATTCTTGAAATACACTTTACCTTGCCCCAGTCTCGCTGACTCTCAGTACTGGCAGATGGCATCTTTGCTTTCTTTTTACTCTGTTTGAGCTTTTCCCCAGCCTTTACAACTTCATTAGAATCATTTTTGCAGGAAGGACAGTACCTTAAAAAAAGTTTTGACAGATTTTAAAATTGATTAACCTAATGGCAACATATTTACTGTAGCCAGAACCATGTTGATTAATCCATATTTTCAAGGTTTTGCCAACCTCAAAAAATTCCAGTGTAATATAACTGATGATGATGATAATAATAATGCTTTGCACTTATACTGTACTTTTCATCCTAAATTCTCAAAATACTTAAAGAATATATTAAAGCAGAGTTCTAACTAAAAAGTAACTCCTAATTCCACCTCCAATTCAAATTTGTGCAATCTCATTGTCTTCAATATGGATATACAGGTGTAACTGAAGGATCTGATTTTGACCTTGAGGTTGGCTGAACAGTGAGGTATGAGCCAGATTACACTTATCCTGTGTGAGTTCTGCATGGCTGGCTATAAAAACAACAAAAATAAGAAGCTGCCATTGTCACTTTTCTATGAACCACACTGTAAGAAAAACTCACAACATACTTATGAAGTACATATTATAACAAACCTATTATGTTGTGAAACAGGAACCTCTTTATGCCAACTGGCAGAGGGCATAAGAGTGCATAAGAGTTACTGGGATCCCCTGGATCTGGTATCTACATAATAGTTTGCCAAATGGTGACATTTAAGGTCTCTGCTGAAAGCCTGTGTCATATTGGTCATCATAATCATTGAGAAATGTATGTATGGATAATATGCAAGAAGTTGTGTACATATAGTGAAAATTATGTTCTTAATGCCTGTGAATTAGGCCTGTCATCAGGAAGTAAGTTGCTTTCAGGCAGGAGACACATCTGTCTGGGTATAGGTAAATTGAGTATTGTGTACTTCACAATGGTTGTCTATTTACAGACTGAGCAAAATGCTAATCAAGAAATTGTGAAAACTACAAGGAGGTTCTCCACAGGAAAAACAAGTAATGGGGGGTGAGGGGTGGGTTTCTGATTATGAACAAAGACAAAGGAATGTTGGAACTATAACTGGAGGTAAAGAGAAAGAGTCTACCTCCTTCACCTAAGGGACAAGCTGACAGTGTGCTTGTCTTATGAAGAGAGGGTCACAGCCAAGCTGGCTGTTAAACGCTGGGAGAAAGACTTTGGTAAGCTAAACTTCATTAGCTAGGAAAATGTCTTGTTAGTTAACTCTAGAAAGCAGGTTATAATTTCATTTTACATGTAACCAGTTGTTCCCAAATATCTCTACTTGTTATCATTTGAATCTTTGTATTTTGTTAAATATACTTCTTGTTTTTACTATAAACTTATCTAACTGCTGTGTGCAGTGGTGATCTCAGGTGAAGCTGGTAAGCAGAAGTATACTGCTTCTTTGGGAACAGAGGATCTGGGAATTGTGTGAGTACTCAACGGATTGGGGCTGGACACTCTAGAGAGATGCTCAGAGGGCCTGGGGGAGAGCCTGTGGCCAACTTGCAGAAGGACAGCAGAGCCTGCCGAGTCTGAGAGGAGAATGCTTGCGAGGGAGCTGACCTTGGCAGGCACAGACAAAGCGTCCTCACTCTAATGGCAGGTGGTAGTGAGATGCCTCACAACCCTGGGTAACCCCAGGAAGTGTCACATATATACTGACTGAGGTACAAAGAAGGTAAGTTTATTTCCCAAGATCATACAGCAAGAGAGCAAGGATTTGAAAGTTTTACACATTTGACATTGAAATACTTCTCCTTGGGCAAGATCTAGTAATATGCTGAGCACTCTGGCCCTGATCCAAAGCACAGTACTTAAGCATGAGCAGTCCCATTGAGCTGGAAATTGCTGAAATTAGGCAGTAGGACTACTCATTTGCTTAAAGCTAACCAAATGTTGAAGTGCTTTGCTGCACCAGGGCTAGAGTGCTCAGCACCTTGCAGGATCAAGACCCTTAATCAGAAATACGTTCAAGTGTTCCATGGAAAATGGGTTTGGATTTGACCTAGTTAGGAGTCTTCTGACATCTCATGCTGGGCATGTACAATACATTTTGTACTGCATTTTTCGCTAAATTTTTACAGTGAGCAGCTTAAAAAGGTTGTGCTATGTTTGTGTGAACACTTAATTTCTTAGTCAATTGACTTATTCCTTGAATTTCACACAAGACAGGTTGTGCTGCTGGTTAAAAAATAAAATGTAAAGAGTTCATGGATGGTGACAGACACTAATACAAGAAGTTTAAGGGTGAAATTCTGGCAGAATTGAAGTCAATGGCAAGACTCCTATTAAATGGGGCCAGTATTTCACACTAAGTCAATAAAGGTACTTCACTAGGACAGTGAAATTAGTGTAAGTAAGGAATGAAAAAAATAGAGTTAGCCATCCGTATCTAAGTTTATCGCAAAAACTGTATAAAGTTATATTCTATTATTTGAAAAGTAGTATGCAATAAAAAGGACTGTGGAATAATGCATATTCACAATAAGGTAAATTTGGAAGTGTGCATGCAGCTTTAACTATGGCATTTCCTGCTTTAAGACTGCTTAACCAAGCAATGTTAATGTTCCCTTAACTGAGCTTTGTATGGAATATTAAATACTGTTTAGCATATAAATAGACTGGTTCTGATCTGTATGAAAATGCCTTATCAGTATTTCCCAAACTGTGGGGTAGAACTGGGGGCTGCCAAGTTTAAATTATTAAAATTTAAAATGGACAATTTCCCACTTTTAAAACAAACAAATATCTGGTATTCAACTAAGGGTCAAACTCTGCCATGAACCTATATTAGTATGCAAGGCAGGAAGAGAAAAGGAGACACGCTTTTACATTTCTGTGCAGCGGCATTACATTGCAGAATTGAAGTCCTTTGCATCAAAGTGAGTGCAAGGACCACATAGGATTAGCAACGCTACATAACCTACGAGAAGTGGACAAGAAGCAAGGCCATAGCTCTGCCATTCCATCGCACTGGCTTCCCTGGCCAGAACAGTTCATCTACCTTCATGAATAAAACTCAGAACGCATATGCCTATAGTGCAAACAAAACAAAGTTAAATTTTAAAATAAAAAGAAATGTTATATACCTCATCAGTCACTATGGTTCTTCTAGATTTTAATACATGTGGATCCCACTTCTTGGGTATAAGTTCAGAATCTTTTGGCCAGGAGTGTCTGGGGAGCTGTAAATATGCCCTAGATGTCCCACCTGAGGGAATATATGGCCTAGTAGTCTCAACTGCCACTCAGTTCCCATCAGTCCAGAGTTCCAAATATTCATAGGACTCCAGAGTAGAGCAGAGGAAGGCAGGATCCACACACCCAAACCATACTGAAAAACTAGTTACTGACAAGGTGAATAACTTGTTTTTCTTCTTTATGTATTGTCAGTGTGGATCCCACTTCTGGTGACTAAGAGGCAGTCTCCGTAAGACTAGTAGAGGGTCTGAGGAGTCCTAATTGAATAGGGATTGCAATACTTGGCCAAAATTGGCATCATATATGCACTGTCCAAGTCCAAGGATTGATGTTTTACTAAGACATGAATGGAGTTCCAGGTGGTGTCTTTGCAATTCTCCAGTACGGCAATGTTCCTAAGGACGCCTGAGCAAGGTACCTTAGCTCTAATAGAATGAGCCCTATCCTCCCTATAGGGTTTTAGGCCTGCCATTCAATATCCTATATGTATGCTCTCTTATCCACTTAATCTTTGAGTGGAAACGGACTGCCCTCTAACATTGGCACCAAACCGGTGCCTTTATACTCTTGAAGAACTTCCTCTCTCAAGAGTCTCTCATGAAAAAAGTCCATGAAGGAGGACATGGAAGGTGAGTAGGGTGTGGGAAGGACTTGAACTGAATTCCATATCCTGTGGAAATTACCTCCTGGGCCTAAAAGTATGAAATAATACTCAGTTCAAGGCTGGAAGAATAGGGATAGATGGTTGCCAAACTGAAGAAACACTAGGTAGGACTCTTAGTGTTACGTTGGGGCTCCCAAAATGCTCATCAAGCCTGCTGCTTGTTCAAGGAAGAAATGGAGTTGACAGAGAGAAAAAAATCTCTCTTCTTCTGGGTTTGGCAGAAAAGGAGAGTCACTGGAATACTGATATGTCTTTGTTTCAGTCTTTATTGGGGTTGCTTTTAGAACCCGAAGGGCTCTCTCTGTTATTACACATGTAGTCCAAGAGACTAATGTACTGCTCTGGAGTCCTTTAAGTGAGCAAACATATTCATTAGTTTTTGAACTAAAAGGATCTGAACCTTCAAAAAGGCAGATTCTCATAGTGGCTTGGACCTATTTAGGTATCCCTGAAGAACATCTGATAGTTACTGCAGTGAATACTGAATGAGATGGTGTCGCTGAAATTTCTAAGATAGCCTGGAGAGAATGCTTTGCTAAGAGCTGACCTTCAGAGTTCTTTTGAGCGCCAATTTTTGTTCTGAGGGAAACTTGTCAATAAAGGATGACAAAATCCCAGATATGTTAGTAGTTTGAGATACACATCTACAAAGAAGCAAAAGAGCATATATTTCTGCAAAAAAAAAATCTAATTTCTTGGGGTCTCTCTCTTTAGGCATTGATTTGGCATTACTCAACAGCTTCGGTCTCTCATTTGCTGTTGACACCTCTAAAGAACTGCATGTTGGAAGAGTGAAAAAAAAAAAAATACTGAAAACCCTTCTGAGGCACCTGATCACATATGTGGAGATATACCTATCTCATAGAACTGGAAGGGACCCCGAAAGGTCATTCAAGTCCAGCCCCTTGCCTTCACTAGCAGTACCAAGTACTGATTTTTGCCCCAGATCCCTAAGTGGCCCCCTCAAGGACTGAACTCACAACCCTGGGTTTAGCAGGCCAATGCACAAACCACTGAGCTATCCCTCCCTCTCAAATAGTAAAGGCACATTTTATAGAACAGTATTTTGCATAAAGTATCATCCTTTTATATTTACCAGTCCTCATCTTCTGGTATCTTGCTTAAAGGTGGATTCAGGCAGTATATATGGTAGGCCATATTACATTCATCGCACAGAAGTTGCATGTGAGCATCCTGTTTTCCACCACACAAATAGCAGGAGCAAAAGCGACATTCCGTATCTGGGTCTGCCCTACAGTGCTTGCACTCAGGGCCACTCTTTCCTGTGAAGATAAAGTAGAAAAAGTTAAGCCTCAGAGAAGTGATTTCAGATTCATAAATATGCCATTATGGGGAGGGGAAAGGTGAGGGGGAAAATGTACAGTAATGCTGTGAGTGCAGGAACTTGCCTATGGTCTCTGTTTAAAAATAAATAAATAAAAAGATCAGGCATAATGGTAGTTATTGAAAACCATTTATTTACAAAACTACATATACAATAATGTTACATCTAAAATATTAATGTCAAGTCAATTTGTAGTCTTGTATTAAAGACTTGCAAAATAGTCATTATCATTTACCAGCCCAGGCACAAAATCTTCTCAATCCCCTTGCCATCATCCTGGTGATGAAAAAGCAAAAAAAGACGGTTACTCACCGTTGTAACTGTTGTTCTTCGAGATGTGTTGCTCATATCCATTCCAGTTAGGTGTGTGCGCGCCGCGTGCACGATCGTCGGAAGATTTTTACCCTAGCAACACCCGGTGGGTCGGCTGTGGAGCCCCCTGGAGTGGCGCCGTTATGGCGCTGGATATATACCCCAGCCGACCCAGCGCCCCCTCAGTTCCTTCTTGCCGGCTACTCCGACAGTGGGGAAGGGGGGCGGGTTTGGAATGGATATGAGCAACACATCTCGAAGAACAACAGTTACAACGGTGAGTAACCGTCTTTTCTTCTTCGAGTGCTTGCTCATATCCATTCCAGTTAGGTGACTCCCAAGCCCCACCTAGGTGGCGGGGTCGGAGTGAGACATTGCTGTGTGCAGAATCGCTGACCCGAAAGCAGCATCGTCTCTGGATTGTTGCACCAGCGCATAGTGGGTAGTAAATGTGTGGACCGATGACCACACTGCAGCTCTACAAATGTCCTGGAGCGGTACTTGAGCCAGGAAGGCAGTCGAGGAGGCCTGAGCCCTCGTGGAATGAGCGGTGATGCGTGGCGTCGGAACACCAGCCAGGTCGTAACAAGCACGAATGCAGGACGTGATCCAGGAGGACAGGCATTGTGAAGAGACCGGTGAGCCCTTCATCCGGTCGGCTACCGCAACGAAGAGTTGCGTCGTCTTCCTAAACGACTTTGTACGGTCAATATAGAAAGCCAGGGCCCTGCGAACGTCCAACGAATGTAAACGCTGGTCCTGACGAGTAGCGTGCGGTTTGGGATGGAAGACCGGGAGGAATATATCCTGGTTCACGTGGAAAGGTGACACCACCTTTGGAAGAAAGGCAGGATGGGGGCGAAGCTGCACCTTGTCCTTATGGAACACCGTGTATGGGGGCTCGGATGTGAGCGCCCTGAGTTCGGAGACGCGCCGTGCTGAGGTGATGGCTACCAGGAAGGCTGTCTTCCAAGATAAGTACAGGAGCGAGCAGGTAGCCAATGGTTCAAACGGAGGCCCTGTGAGCCTAGAGAGTACGAGGTTGAGGTCCCACGTTGGAACCGGCTGTCGTTGCTGTGGGTATAGCCGGTCTAAGCCCTTGAGGAATCTAACGACCATCGGGTTAGAGAAGACCGAGGACGTGAGTTCTCCTGGGTGGAAAGCGGAAATAGCGGCGAGGTGAACCCTAATTGAGGATGTCGCCAAGCCTTGCTGTCTTAGGGACAGGAGGTACTCCAGTATCAAGGGGATAGGAGCCTGCGAGGGAGACGTAGCTCGTTGCTCACACCAGCAGGAGAACCTCTTCCACTTGGCTAAATAAGTGGTGCGCGTAGAGGGCTTTCTACTTCCCAGCAGGACCTGTTGGACGGCCTGCGAGCATTGCCGCTCTGAGCGACTCAACCATGAAGCATCCACGCCGTGAGGTGGAGCGACTGCAGGTCGGGGTGACGCAGCCGGCCGTGGTCCTGAGAGATGAGATCCGGAGTCAAGGGAAGCGTGATCGGTCTCTGTAGTGACAGCTCCAGAAGTGTGGTGTACCAGTGCTGTCTCGGCCAAGCGGGAGCGACTAGAATTACCCGTGCATGGTCCCTGCGGATCTTGAGCAGTACCCTGTGGACCAGCGGGAATGGGGGAAAGGCGTAGAACAGATGGTCTTTCCATGCCATGAGGAAGGCGTCCGACCGAGAGCCCTGGGCTCGCCCGTGTAGGGAGCAGAATGCCTGGCACTTCCTGTTGGCCCGAGACGCGAACAGGTCGATCTGGGGAAACCCCCACCTTTGGAAGACGGAATAAATGATGTCCGGGCGAATCGACCACTCGTGCATCTGGAAGGACCTGCTGAGACGGTCCGCCAGCGTATTCTGGACTCCAGGCAGGAATGACGCCGTGAGATGTATCGAGTGGGCGATGCAAAAGTCCCACAGGCGAATGGCTTCTTGGCATAGGGGAGATGAGCGGGCTCCGCCTTGCTTGTTGATGTAAAACATGGCCGTGGAGTTGTCGGTGAGAATCAGCACGCAACGGCCCTGTAGGAAGTTGAGGAAAGCCTGACAAGCCAGGCGCACTGCCATCAGCTCTCGGACGTTGATGTGCAGGGCTAGTTGGGACGTCGACCACAGGCCTTGGGTATGATGCTCCCCCAGGTGAGCGCCCCATCCTAGAGATGAAGCGTCCGTAACTAGGTGGAGGGAGGGCTGTGGGGCGTGAAAAGGCACTCCTGCACAGACCGCTGTGCGGTCCGTCCACCATGCGAGGGAGGCCAAGACTGCGGGCGGAACCGTGACCACTATGCTCAGGTCGTCTCGGTGAGGACGGTAAACCGATGACACCCAAGTCTGCAATGGGCGAAGTCGCAGCCTGGCGTGCCTGGTTACGTAGGTGCACGAGGCCATGTGGCCCAAGAGGGCAAGGCACGTCCTTATGGTGGTAGTTGGAAAGGCCCTGAGACCTTGAATGACGCTTGAAATGGCCTGAAAGCGGCTGTCTGGCAGGATGGCTCGGGCATGTCTGGAGTCCAGGATTGCTCCAATGAACTCTATTCTCTGAGTTGGCACTAGAGTGGACTTCTCTCTGTTGAGTAGAATGCCCAGCTCGTGGAAAGTGCGTGTCACTATGTGGACATGGGCCTGCACTTGGTCTCTGGTGTGGCCGCGTACCAGCCAGTCGTCCAGGTACGGGAACAGCTGTATCCCTTGTCGACGAAGGAAGGCCGCGACGACTGCCAGACACTTTGTGAAGACCCTGGGAGCCGAGGACAAGCCGAAGGGAAGGACTGCGAATTGGTAGTGCACCCTGTTTACTACAAACCGCAGGAAGCGCCTGTGAGGCGGATAAATCGCTATGTGGAAATAAGCGTCCTTCATGTCGAGGGCGGCGAACCAGTCTCCAGGATCCAGTGAAGGGATGATGGTCCCCAATGACACCATGCGGAACCTCAACTTTACTATGAATTTGTTGAGTCCGCGCAAGTCTAAGATGGGCCTTAGACCCCCTTTTGACTTGGGTATCAGGAAGTAGCGGGAGTAAAACCCCCTGCCCCTTAGCTCCGATGGAACCTCCTCTATGGCCCCCATAGCGAGGAGCCCAAAAACCTCCTGTGTAAGGAGTTGCTCGTGAGAAGGGTCCCTGAAGAGGGACGGGGAGGGGGAGTGGGAGGGGGGGGGCGAGGAAAACTGGAGGGCGTATCCCCTTTCCACCGTGCGAAGGACCCAACGGTCCGAGGTTATACGGGACCAAGCACGGTGGAAGCGGGAGAGGCGATCCCGGAAAGGGGGAGTCGGATCCTGGGTACCGGTCGTGGTGCCGTCCTCGACCGCACCTTCAAAAGGCTTGTCTAGGCCCTGAAGGTGGCCTAGACTGGCCCTGGTTCTGACCGGGTTGAGGGCCGGTCGACCTTCGCCTACCGCCTCGACCCCGCCTCCTAGCAAAGTCCTGTCTAGGACGAGGCGGGGGAGGGTAGAACCGCTGAGGTTGGGGCCTGAAGGGTCTGCGCTGAGGCCCTGGGACATGCATCCCCAGGGAGCGCATCATTGTCCGGGAGTCTTTGAGGTTTTGGAGCCTCGAGTCTGTTTTCTCTGAGAAGAGGCCCTGACCCTCGAACGGTAGGTCCTGCAGGGTCTGCTGCAGTTCCGGTGGCAAGCCCGACACCTGGAGCCAGGAGATTCGGCGCATTGCTATCCCGGAAGCCAGTGTCCTAGCGGCCGAGTCCGCTATATCCAGGGATGCCTGTAGGGAGGTGCATGCCACCCGCTTGCCCTCCTCTACCAAGGCCCCGAACTCTTCCCTCGAGTCCTGGGGGACCAGTTCTTTAAATTTCCCCATCGAGGACCACATATTGAAGCCGTAGCGGCTGAGGAGCGCCTGCTGGTTCGCTGCCCGCAATTGCAGTCCGCCAGCAGAATACACCTTGCGTCCGAACAAATCGAAGCGCTTAGCGTCCTTCGATTTGGGCGCAGCAGCCTGCTGGCCATGGCGCTCCCGTGCATTCACTGATGACACCACCAGTGAGCACGGTTGGGGGTGAGTGTACAGATACTCATGCTCCCGGGAAGGCACGAAGTACTTTCTCTCCACCCCTCTGGCCGTGGGCGGAATAGAGGCCGGGGTCTGCCAGATAGTGGTGGCGTTGGCCTGGATGGTGCGGACCAGCGGCAATGCCACCCTGGATGGAGCATCCGCAGAAATGATCTGCACTATTGGGTCATGGACCTCCGCAATCTCCTCCACCTGGAGGTCCAGATTGCGAGCCATGCGCCGCAGCAGGTCCTGATGGGCCCGAAGGTCTATCGGAGGTGGCCCGGTGGTAGAAGTGCCCGCTACGGCCTCATCAGGAGAGGACGAGGAGGATACCCCCGGTGGCAAGGGGTCCAATGGTTGATCCTGCTCCATGTGTTCCTGGTGATGGGCGTCCCCTGCCCCCAGATCCAGGGCCTCTGCAGGTGCGGGCACTGGAGCCTCCACGTCCCTTGGAGGAGGGCGGGAGATGGTGGACTCTGGGGCCCTAGGCTCCGAACGGCCAGAGCGGGAGGCCGATAGGGGAGCTCCTTGTGCCTGGTGGTAGGCCCAAGGAGTCCAGAAGGACCAATGCGCAGGTCCTTGTATCGGGTCGTCGGTCTCCTGCAGGTG